AAGTCAATTGTTAGTGAATTAGAAGTTAGAGGTTAGTTGAATGACCATCTTGAAACTTGCATTTGAAAACTCATTAGAGGATTGATAAGATCAAAGCCTTCTAACAATGAACCTCAAGGTTATTGGATCAAATGTTTAAAATTAACATGCTTGGGCTTGCAAACATAGGTTTGGGCCATGAATGATCATTTTCGAATTGGGACAAATTTAGCGTTATGCTAAGCAATCGTAAGTGGACTTATGTAGAAGTCGCACCTATTTTGAGGCCGGTCAATAGAAATCTATGTACCACATGTTAGAAAAATGATATGTAGATAATTCTCCAACAACATGTAGCACAAGTAAGAAAGGGCTAAGATGAAGAGGTAGGGGATGTATTACTTGAAATTAGGGTTTCAAATATCATCAACATCATTTATCCATTTTGGTGGATTTGGTTTTTCAACCTATCAATACCCAAGATCCAATGAGGCTTGGGAGTTTGTCCCAAAATAAACACCCAAGTCAGTAGCATATAAGTTCCAACAAAACACATTGAAATATCAGACTCAAGGTTCATATCAATCATCAATATATATCATACATGCATTTAAATTAAAACAAAGTGTGTATGTGAAGTAGAAAGAAGTGTGTGAGGGTTAAACATGTCATGAAGTGTCAAAAAATAGTGAAGTCATAAGAATACAAATCATGTAAGTATACCTTAAAGAATTTAAATGAAACATGCTCAAGCGTCACACACAATACAAGTGGAATTTATGCACAAACCACAAACAAAAGGCATTCAAAGTTTGATAGAAGAAAAGGATGCTAGAAGTAAGATAAAATTGGGAGAAATGTAACACAATAGAACCAAGTCAGTAGCATATTCCATGCCAAAAGTTAGCCTAAAACTATGCACATAAGTTCTTAAATACAAACTTTTTGATCAAGGCAAAACCCTAAACATACTCCTAAGTTAAAACTAGGTTAAAAATATGAAAAGGACTTGTAAAATGATGATAATTAAATCCTAACTTCGTAAAGACCTATAAAAGTCAGAAACATCATTTGAAGTTCTTGGATTAGCTTGGAAAGGTGAGAATGATTGGAAATCGGCAAGACTAGTTGGCAAAGGGTTCAAACTAGAGGGGTTTGACAAAATTATTTCAAAGAAAATGGAAAGTTAGGTTTAAAAAACCAAAAAAATCATTTTTGTAACCTTGAATCATCCAAGAACATCAAACAATTTTTCTTGATTGTCATAATTGAAGGAAGTTAAAGGTTTAATTGTTTCTTTAAGCTTAAGCAAGGGAAGACCTCAAAAACAACAATTAACTTCTAAAATTTTGAAAAATAAAAAAAACAAACTTTAAATTCAATTAAAAATCATGAAAATTATATAAATATCTAAAGAACACTAAGCATATTTTATTTGGAATTTTATCTTGAAAGAAAAATTAAAACAGAAAATATTTGTATAATTCAACAAAAATTGAAAAAAAGAGTGACACAACTAACCAATTGATTTAATTAGAGTGTCGCGAATTTTATAAAGTAGGTGAAAAATTATTTTCATGAAGAAGACTCAGAGGGAAACTAAGAATTTTTTTTTATGGATTTTTTAGATTAGTGAAATTAAAAAAATAAAATTCTAAAACTTAAAAGATGATTAAAAAACCTAATTAAGATAATTGAATTATTTAATCGTGCAAAAATGATAAAAATATGAAATAATAATCAAAATAAAAAAATATACTAAAAATTAAGTCTGAAATATTTTTTTGGTAATTTTTGAATTAATGAAACTATTAAAATTAAATTGGAGAAAACAATTAAAATGAAGTAAAATTCAAATAAAACTCAGATCTACCACATCTATAATGATCAAAAGGCGCTTTAAAAGATAATCATCCATGTTCAATCAAAACACGATAAGTCATTGTCCCTACCAAATAACCAAAGCCCTAACGAATTACAGTTTCAAATATGTTAACTTCAGAGCAGCATATCTCTCTCGTTTCTCAACGAAATCATGTAAAATTGAAACCAAAATTCAAGATCAAAGTGCATAGAATACAATAGCATCAAGAATTTCATGAAATGATGCATGAATAGTAGAGAAATTAGGGTGCAAAAGTTGCTGCATGAACACAATTTTGATTTAAGCAATTCATCAAACAATTTTCATGTTCAAATATCTCACTCGATTCTTAACCATTTTACTTGATCCTAACATCAAAATTCATCAGGAAAATGCAAGGAATATGAAGATGATTATGGATTTTCAAAATGAAACAAGATCGAAGCACAAAGGAAGCATGAAGTCACTGCATCATACAATTTTCCACAACTTTCAGAAGCTTATAACACGATCCAAATTTCAATTTCAAGCAAGATTATACATCAAGCCTAATGCCTAGCCAGCTATGAACATGTAATCAAGCTTTGAGTCGACTAAAACATGCTGGAAATGAAGAATATTAGATCTGAGATCATACCTTGCAAGTTGAAAAATAAATTCAACTATTGCATCTGAACAACAAGAAACCCCTTTGATCTTTACTCTCGAGCCTTGATGAATATGAAAAAAGAAAGTGCTTGTGACTGGAGAAGAGAGAAAAATCAACCTCGAAGAGAGAAGATTGAGAGATGAGATGAAATTATGATTTTTTTCTTCTGTGTGAGGGAGGCTTCGTGTATGTAATGAGAGGGAATGGCTCGCTTATAAAGAGGGAATAAAGTGAGGAAGAGTATTGAGGAAGCTTCCTTGAGGGTAGAAAGGTCAAGTTGGCAGATTTGAGTGAAGTCATGTGAGGCTTGCATTTCATGCTGCTTTGGTGTGAGCTTGCAGTCATTTTAGTGAGCTCAAGGTGAGTGGAAATGAGTGAATGAAAGCGTGGGAGGTGAGCTGACTTTATGTGCACATGGGCAGAAAAATATATGGAGAGAAATGTTTCTATATTCGGTAAGGAATGAGGAGGGCATGTATGCATGGATTTTGAACTTTGTTTGGTTTAATCAGGTAAAGAAACAATAGTGATAATGCATGGTATCGAGGCATGCTATGTACAAAACTCACAAAAATGAATGCATCTCAAGCCTATTGAACAACTCACTTTCCAATCCAAATTCTCTTAATTTGCTCGTGCAATTTTGATGCTCAAGGGGCCTATGGAAAGCTGAGACAATGAGGATAAATGTTATAGTTGATGGAAAGTGGAATTGAAGTTTTCATGTAGGTGAAAAGTTGGTGTAAATTAATGAAAATTTGAATCTAGCAGGCCCGACGCGCGCTACAGGTAGATATCGCATGACAAGGAAATTTTGAGACCTTAACTTTAAAGGATCACATCTTTCTCAATAATAATCCAAATGAGGTGAACCAAAGAGCAAATTGTAGCTTATACATCCAATTAGATCTTCCTTTCGAATCACCTTTTCAATTGAAGCTTGAATCACAAGATAAAGTATCATGAACACCGGCACACCATGTGTTTGATAAAAGTACTGGCCTGATTGGGCAATCCCACGCACGCGTGGCCTGCATGGCAGGTTGGTTTGGTTAGTTTGAGATACCAACTTTGAGAGATCATATTTCCTTCAATATTAGACCTTTTGACCTGATCCAAAGATCTACATGAAGCTCACGTGACAAATTATAAAACTCTTTCTTTTCATTTTTCAAATTGAGACTTGAGTCAAAAGAAATTAATCCATGAAGATGGCACCCCAAGTGTTTGTTAAAATGACTGCATGGGCGTGTAGCATGCCTTGTCAACTTTGAAGCCTTGTGTCTAAAACTTCTAAGCCAATTTTCTCTCAATTGGTTCACAATTGAGACTTCCACCCACATTGACAAAGTTGTTGAATTCTTTACAAGCTTTCTGAATATGTATCATTTGCTTCATTTTAAGTAAAAATATAGCAAGTTATGAGAAGTCAAAAATTAGTACTATGGAGACTCGGGAAATTTTCAAATAATCAAATAACTTCTTCAACAAGTTATCTTCAAATTAACCATTTCTCTTGATTTTATGACAAAATTGATCATGTTATGTGAAAATAGGCTCTTTGAATTTGATGGTTGATCAAAAGTCCACTTGGTCAACTTTGACTTTGGTTGACTTTTGACAAAATGACCATTTTTCCCCTTTTGATCAATTGAACCTCCTTCAATCAAAATTGATGATCAATCTTCCAACCATAGATGATCATGAACATGTAGAGAAGCATGGAATTAAGTCTTGTCCAAAAAGTCAGAGATTTCCTGATTAAATTCAAAACCCTAGTTTTGACCCTCTGTGCCAGGAGATGTGAGATGAATGCAATCGTGTCATCACCTACGATATGAACATTCAAAGAGACATATATACATATTTTGATGTTAGTTAGAAGAACATATGTACAAGATACATAAATCAAGATGCTTGGTGATCCCTCAAGAGCAAACTTAAAGATTAGATAAAGTAGAAAGAGAGAACCTATCCTAATGTGCGACTTTGATGCATTGATAAAAATGAGATGATGAAAAATCTTAGGGGTAAAAATTGGGGTATAACATACACATATTAATAAAATAAAATAAAAGTAAGAGAGAAAATAATATTTTTACTATAGTGCTCATAATCATGTATTGAAAATAATGAAATTTTTATTAGTTAAAGAGTAGAATTGAAAAAAATATATTAAAAATCAAAATAGATAATTTATTTTAAGATACTATTTTATTTTAAATGCACTATTGATTATGGGATGAAGAGAATAATTGTGAAGATATTATAAAAATTAGGTTAGGTACATTATTGATATTGCCATCTTTGTATATATATTTAGTCCATGTACATAGTGTGTAATCCTAGTCTAGATACATAATACACTTTCTCCATCTTTGAGAATTTTTAAATTATCTTATAAAATATAAAATATTTTATTTTATTATATAACCCTTATTTTGTTTATACCCACCCAAGCTACTTGGAAATTGGAATCATATTCTGCTTTTTCTGCAGAACTGAAGAATGACTTTGAACGTGTTAACCGCAACAGTATCGAACTTTGATTCTGTCTTTGAGAAATTCCGATCAGAGGCTCCTAAAAACAGAGCAAACCTCGTTCTGTTCTTGGCTGATAATGATCCTTCTACCTCTCTCAGCTGGTGCCCTGGTATTTTTCTTTTCTTAGTTGATTGTTTTTTCTGTGTATGTTTGTGCTTTAACCGGTTTAACCCAGATGATTTTTTAAAAGATTTTTCTGTTTTGTTGTGAATTTTGATGTAAAAATTTGATTTTCATGTAAATAAATGAATTTTGATGGAAATATTTGTTGGGTTTTTTTTTTTTTGATAACATAGCACTATGTAGACACACTGTTTGTGAAAATGCTGCATAAGAAAAATTGGATCCGGAAATTAGTTTGGGTGATCGATTTGTTACTAGGATATGTTTGGAATCAAAGCCCTCTCTAGTTTTTAGAAGCCCTGTGTGTAGGTTTGTCAGAGTTTCACTATGACAAGACAAATAGAGGTCTTATTTAATCACGATTTAATCGGATAGATATTTTATGAGCCCATATTTAGTTGTAATTTAACCCTGACAAATTTAGGGTCATGTGCGATAGTCTTCCTTGCATGCCCTCATGTGCGATAGTCTTCCTTGCATGCTCTCAAAGACGAATGAATTTGAGGAAATCATGGTGGCATTATGGTTTTGTTGATGCTTTGAAATGTAATTTTGCCAAGATCAGAGTAGCATGACGTGATTCTGCCAAACTCATCACAAATCCAAACATGCACTAAAACTTATTTTATCTTTGAAATGAAAATTAAGCTATGAATATTAGACTTTTGTATTATGTGTAAGTGTAACTATAGCGGCGTTACACCGTAGAAGAATTTGGTCTAACCCCAATGTTCTGCCATAAGTTGTTTAGTACAAAATGCTGTTGCCAAATAGCAACTATAGTGGTGCTACAGCACTATTGTGAATTTTAAATATATGCTATGTGCAATTGACAACGGCGTGTATTGAGAAATACTCAAGTTCATGTTACCGGATGTATTGAGAAATACTCAATTTCAACTTTGAAAAGAGACAAGACTTGAAAAAAAGTTAATAGTGATAAAAATGATGATGTATTGGTGTCTAAAAATGATGATGTGCGCGTTTTAGGGAAAAAGAATTTCCTAAAATTGATGTTATGTGATTCTGATTTATTTTGGGTGTTTTATATATTTGATTTGCAGTTTGAGAAGCATGATACTTCTTCCATTTATGAAAATCCATGATGTTATGTTTTTTTATGATGTTTGCTTTGTCTTTTTAGACTGTGTGAGAGCTGAGCCAGTGATTCTCAAGAAGCTAGAGGCTTCACCTAATGAAATTGCGCTTTTGAAAGCTTATGTTGGAGATAGACCAACATGGAGGAACCCACACCATCCATGGAGGGTGGATCCTAGGTTCAAGCTCACTGGTGTGCCAACGTTGATCCGTTGGGAGAATTATGCTGTCACAGGTCGCCTCGAGGATCATGAAGCTCATCGTGAGAACAAAATTGAAGCTCTTGTCGCTGACAAATGATTGCCATTGTGTCTCAGATAGTTTCTATCACCATGTAGTTTAAACTCTTTGTGCTGTACCCTGTATATGGCTTTACTTGTAAAGCATATCTATTGTGAATGTTGAGTACTAATAATGGTCACAAGGGAATGCTTGAATAATATTGCAGACATTTATTGGTTCTTTTTCGGTTTAATAGTTGTGTTTTTGATTCTACATAATGTTGAGTTTGCTGTGTGTTTAACTTTAGACAACCAAAATTTCAACTTACTGTTGTCAATAGTAACTTAATCGGAAGTTGAATATGAATGGATCCTTTCTACCAATAAATATTAATTTTGATAACATACTCTTTTCCCACTTTTCTAGTTTCTCTGTATTAAACTCAGAAGTGTTGTTTTTCCCATCGCTTTTGTATTTTCTATTTCATTTCCAAATTCGAAATTTTTGTAATGCCATGTTTTCTCATTAAATCTTGCCCAAAAGATTAGTACACATTAGAGTTTATTTATTTTTGCATGTAATGGAATGGACCTGAAAGCCAAAGTTTCAGCAGGCCCGTCTGATATGTCGCTATTGTGCGTTTGCGAGGACCATGTGGCCAAGAATATCTACGACCATGTGGCCAAAAATATTGCTGTAAATACGTTATTTTTACTACATTTAGTATTCAAGTTTTTAGTCCATTAGTTAGGTCTATTAGTTTAGAATAGTCTTATATAAAGAGATTAGTGTTTGTGATTTGAACATACTTGAAATATATTATTCAATTTCAAACATGGTATCAGAGCTTTTATAAAGAGATTAGTGTTTGTGATTTGAACATACTTGAAATATATTATTCAATTTCAAACATGGTATCAGAGCTTTTGTTCGAGAGGGTTTCACTTCTGCATAAAAAAACATAATTGCCTTAATTGCGGTTTCTTTTTCAAAACCCTAGCCGTCTTAATGACGGTTCTTTTTTCAAAATCCTAGTTGCCTTAATTGTGGGGGTTTAGGCTCAGAATTATTGTTCATCGCAGAATACTATTCATCGTTAGAAGTACTGTTCAACTCTGGTATTGCTCATCGATAGAAGTACTATTCACTGTTGAAATTGTTGTTCATCGGAATTACTGTTCATCACCAGACACTATTCATCGCATCACTGCTCGCTTTAAAAAAAAACTCAATTGAAGGTTGTATGCCTCTTTACGACTAACTTGCTGGTTCTTTTTTATTCTATTGAGTAAGACACATTCGCATGAGGAAGTAGAGAGGAGGAGAATTGGTCCAACTCAACAAAGACGAAGTAGAGAGGAGGAAATCTCTCCTTAGTAAGTTAGAGAAACCAATAGGTACTTATATGTTGATACATTGAGGTACATTTCCATTTTCACTTCCTCTTGGTAAGTCTCAATTTTCTTTTAGATTTAATGCATCCGATAAACCCTTTAACTAATACCGAATATTGCATTCTGGAGCCACTGACCACATGACACTTTTATCCACACACTTTTCTACTTATTCACCATGTCCTAGCAACAAAAAAGTATTCACAGCAGATGGTACCCTTATAATTGTAGCTAGGCAAGGAGATATTCAAATAAGCCCATCTATAATCCTTCGAAATGTTCTTCATATTCTCAAATTGTCCACTGACCTAATTTCCATACAAAAACTCACAACGCCCTATCATGTAATGTTGTTTTTTATAACAATGCTTGTGTTTTCCAGGACAAGAATTCAGGGAGGACAATTGGAAATGCTAGAGAATGAAATGACCTTTATTACTTGGATAACCAAAATATTCCTCTAAACATGTTCAACAACAACAAATCCTTTTATTCAAAATCAATTAAAATCAATAGAGAAAAGATCCTTCTGTGTATCATTGTCTCCTTGGTCATCCATCATTTAGAGTCATAAAACAATTATTTCATTCATTACTTAAAAGTTTAGATATGGAGAGTCTTTGTTGTGATGTGTTTCAACATGCTAAACACATGCGCGTCTCTTTTTCTGTCAGTAATAAAGTGAGTATTTTTCCATTTTACTTAATTCATACTGATGTTTGAGGTTCGTCGAAAGTTCTAAATATATCAGTTGCTCATTGGTTTGTAACATTTATTGATGATTGCACTCGGGTTTGAAGCGACTCTCTGAGACAAACTCAACCATGGCATCGCGGAATATTTATATAAACAATGTATTGTTTAATTTACAAAAGAAACAGAAAATAGCGAGCACAAACTCTGGAGATTACATGATCAATTCTTAATGAAAATTAGAAGAAGTATGAGATTCAGAGAGATGAGGAGAGTAGATTGATAACTTGTTTGAAGAAAAATGAATGAGTAATCTACCTGAATGAAGTATGGAGAAATTTACCTCGACGGTGAACTTGGTATGGACGACTGAGAGCACTTGAAGCTTCAGTAATGGATGTGTTAGCTTTAGAGGAGTACGATAAAGCTAACTAAATCAAAAAAGGAATGAAATAGCCTCTAAAGGAGAAAATGAATTCGAAAATTTCAGAGGTTTTGCGAGGTTCGGAAAGAGCTTCTTTGGCTATCCAAGCTTGGTAAATTAAAGGGAATGTGGTCTTCTATTTATAGGAGAGTGAATGGCAATGAGAATTGAGAGAAATAGTAAGGTTTGGAGGGAATTTGAGGGAAGTTGTGAGCATGAGGGACATGTGACTCTATGTGCATAAAAAATCATCCAAATGTTGCGTTTTGATGCTCCAAATGTTTAAGGCATCTTTGCTAATCATGTTTAAGTGGAAATCACGTGGTAATTTGGTGATTATAAGCCACATTTCACAATTTCACTTCTGACTTCAAGTGATATTTTCAGTTTCAAAGCATCAACTTTACAACCATGGTGCAAACAACTCAGGGACCTTTTTGATCTCATTCTTTTTGAAATGGAAAGAACTTCTCACAATATTTGTAATATGTGAAGAAAATTTGCATTGGAAGATCTGAGCAAAAAGTTACATCATTTTGAAATCAAGAAAAACACACAAATTCTTGATACTTAGAAAAATTCTAAGTATGGAACCTCAAAATGACCTATAGTGTCTTGCAAACTTACAAGCCCTTCCACTCAAAATTTGATCTTGATCCTTGAAGATGAAATGAATTATAATCTTAAAATTAAATAGTCGAATTAAGGTCACTTCAAAATCATAAAAACTGAAAGAGTTACGGTCTTTGGAAGATGATGAACAAATTTGGGGAAATTCACAAAAGACCTATAATCTTTTCAATTCTTAAACACACTTCCAAGCATTTTCAAGTATTTAATTTTGAAACAAAGTTGTAGTAGACATCCTTAAGTTTATTGTGAAAAAATAATGAGCTCATGGAGATAAAAGATGACCAAGTTATGATCCTTTGAAGTCACACAAGAGAATTTGATGGCCTTCCATAAAGACTTGTAATCTTTCCCAATCATTAATGACTTTCCATTCAAAATTAGCCTTAAACCCTTGGAGATAACTTGCCAAGGACCCTTTAAAGAGAATCATGTCTTTGGAATCAATAAAAAATCTCAAAAAATTAGCAAGATATGGTCCTTGGAAGTCAGCAAACCCTAGCTCAGAAAGTGTCAAAATGACTTGGAACCCCTTTCAACTTTTGATGATTTTTTTGCACAATTGGATCTAGTCATGTGAAAATAAGTTGTTGTAGATGATGATAAGGGTCTATAGAAAAAAAGAACCAACTAAAAATGTTGAAAATTGAGAGAGTTGTACACTTGTGATTATTGAATCAAATGTTTGTTCAATTATGGCAAACTTGTTGAATAAATCTTGAATCTTTTGAACTTTCTTGGCAAAATAAAGCACGATGGATCACAATAGGCCTTGAAATGATGTTATCTTGAAGCACACTAAAAAATGGAGCTTAAGTCTCAATGAAACTTGTTGAAGAAGGCATGGAAATAAACATATGAACCTATGAATCTTCTTGATGAATACCACCACCAACCTTGAGGAAAACATGAGCTAAATAAAGGTGAGAGAGCTCTTTGAACCAAAAAACTTTGATATCATAGACATATCCTTGAATCTTAAGCTCTTGCAAACCATTGGAGAACTATTTCACTGAGGATTATCCCTCAAAACCCTAGGTTAGATGGTGAGATGGGTGCAGTTGTGTCATCACCTACAATATGAACATCTAAAGAAACATATATACATATTTTGATGTTAGTTAAAAGTTAATCCACCTAAAAAAATACATGTACAAGATACACAATTCAAGGTGCTTGGTGATCCCTTAAGAGCAAACTTAAAGATAGGATGAAATAGAAGGGAGAACCAACTCTAATGTGTGATCTTGATTTATTGAAAATTTGAGATAATGAGAGATCTTAGGGGAAAAATTAGGGTATAACAACTTTCCTTATTTAAGTGTCTTCTATCCAGAGATACGAAGGTTAAAATCTTTCTCTCGACATGATTGAAGATACTTAAATACAAAACAAACCCTATTTTTGGCCCTAAGATGCCATGCAATGCTTATGATTATGAATGCAAATGACCAACTCCATAGGTGACACAAAACATCACTAGGGAGACAAAAGTAAAACAAGTAGCCTAATGAAGAGAGTTCAATCAGGCAAATAAATTACTGGGGAACAACATGATTCTGGGGATGACTATAGATAGTAAAAACCAAAATCACGATTAAAGAATCTAAATGTATAGTAAGATTTCAATGATGGAAATTCTTAATAATGCAAAAAACAAGCTAACAAGGAGGTAAACATTAAAAAGGGTTACCGACTCGACTAGGGAAAGAAACTTAACTCCGTTGGAGAAAAAATAACTCCGCTGGGGAAAAGAAGACTCAACTCTACTGGGGTAAAGCCCAAAGAGGAGACGAAGTATCATCAACTCCATAAATGAGGAAAAAGCAATGGATAATAACAACCGGCAGATAACTGTGAAATACCCACTCATAGAGGAGGTAGTAAAAAAGAGAGTAACATCGACTCACAAGGGATCGTAAACTACCAACTTAGGT